TTTGGGCTGGAAAACCTGAGTCAGTGACATATGGCAACCCTGCTGAAGTCACTGTCGCGACCGTGTTAATAATCAAAGCCAGTAAAACCGCATTATAGAAGTCTGGGTGATGGTTGTCGTGTGATGCTTGAAGATAGATAGGTTAATCCACAATGCATATTTGTATCATGTTTCACATTTGAGATGCACACGCTTGACTGTTCTTATATATTTATTTATTTTTTGTTGGGGGGGGGGTCCATAAGTGGGCTGGTATAAATGGAACGATGCAAGGGCCGAAAATCCGTGCCTGCCTCCACTGATGTTAAAAAGTCATTGTTAACAGCAGGTAAAGCCAACAGAGAGAAAACTATTTATTTAGAGTAAGTTTCTTCTTCAGGTTGTTTTAAATATCTTCGGATCTTGACTGTTTTGTATTTATCATTTAATATTAAAAACTCTTTGAGCTGGAACGATTAGCAAACAGATAAGCAACAGCTCTAGAAACCTGAAAATGGTGAAAAACTTCTTTTACTCTGACAAATAAACTCTAACCTCTGGCTACAGTCACTAATAAATTCATAATCAAAGTCTAGTTGTTTCCCCTGGCTCGAACCTACAAGAGAGGAAAACGTGCTGGACGGTCTTTGAGAGATGTTGTTTTGGCAGTTGGTCGATGTATTTATAGTAGTGTTGCACCGATACCGATACCAGTATCAGACGGGGCCCCGATACTGCCCCTAAAATGGTGGTATCGGTATCGGCAAGTACCAATAAATAGGGCGCCGATACCATTTTGAGAGCCATAAGTTTATTCAACTATTGTCACCCACTCCTGGTAGGCAATAAAAAGTTCTACTGGATTCACTTTGTATTAGATTTTTTCCTGCTTCACAAAGGTAGGCAGCAGCTTGACATGAAGCCATGATGACAATTATTTTACATTATTATGGTATCGGTATCAGCCGATACTGCACAGCCAGGTATCGGTATCGAGGCCAAAAAATGGCATCGGCGCAACATTAATTTATAGTTCAAAATTGGTAACACTTGTCAGTTTTGCTGTGTTTAATGAATACTTAGTCTTTAGTGTTATTCATGTGTTCTGTTCAAACAGTTTGACAGCTGTATACTTTACATCTTTATTGTCAGTTAAAGTTTCAGAGGATATTCTATATAAGGGGGAAAAAATGAGGGGCAGGGGTACTGGAAACACAAACATCTCAAATTTGGAATTGGCGCCTATAATTTGTGCATGGATTCGACATGATCCTAAGTTTTCAGGCTAAAACCCAGTCATTTATAAGGTTAGGGAAGGTCAGGGATGGCTGTCCTTCTCCAAGTCTTTGTAATCTATCTTGTGTTGCACACCACTAACTGCCTCAATCATGTTATTTGATGCGTCTCTCATGTCGTTTTTTATGCTTTGTTCATTGTCATTCATGTCTAATCATGTAGCAGGACTTGAAGACAGCCATCTAGATCAACCACATACTCATAAACACACTGGCCTGAAATATTCCACAGTGCACTATTGTCATTGACAGCTGTGTGAGTCACGCCGATCATGTTTTGGCCTTTTTACTGTTTCCTCAAGCCTCCTGGCTACAGACAGCTACAGACATGTGCCGCTGTGTACATTCATTCTGATATTTGGGTGTTTTACTTTCTTAGCCGATCTTTTTTAATTGTACCATAAATGTTTTTTGTAGCAGTGTATTTGGATTTATTATACAGTAGTAGCCATTCAAAATGTTCCCACTTTCCTTGATGGGCCCTTGGCTGGTCCCCTGCAATTCATAAAAAAAAAAACATCAATCTTTGTACTAAGATATTCTTTCTCTCATGATTTTTGGACATTAAGACTTAAAGAGAAGCACCTTCTCCTGGTCAGACCATGTAATTCAGTGAAAAGGTGGAGTCAGAGTTAAAAAATATGAAAGATTGGTGCCACTCCTGTGGCTGGAAGTTGGAGGAGGTTCTGCTGGGAATTGCAGGGAAGTGGGTTGCCATTCGGCCTTCTGAATGTCTGCTACTGTATTGTTTGTCAATCTGGTACGCAATATTGTCAGATTATCAAGTAGTGTAAGCAATACTGAATTGATCTGTGATTATCTGTTCCCCGGTTTTCTTCATTAACCTTGTTAGAAAATCTTTTAGACTTTAGGATTTTTTTATTTTTAGAAATGCCACAGTTTTACGATGAGATTCTAATGTGGTTCGGCAGCCAGGAAGCCCATTGCAATATTCTATTGGGTCTTTCATGTGTGCATAATATTCTTAGATTAAGACATGGCTGATCATTCCTGTTAGAATATTTAATCTTTGGTCAATTTCAGCTGTAGTTTATGGTTGTAGCTCACACTCATTTTATTCATTTCTGCTTCTAAAGAGTAGAGGAATGTAAATAAGATGATAAAAGCTACTACCACATCATATATCACAAATAGGAATATCAGCATGTTCAATAATCATATGAAAAAAGACTTCTAGAAATGTTATTTGCATAAATTTTTGTAAAACAAAGGTGAGTTCCATAATAGTTAAATTAAAAAAAGTAGTAAAAGCAAAGCTAGGAAGGCCTTTATCTAGAGGTATGAAATAAAAGCAATAGAGACGTATTAGGCAAGGTCCCTATCTAGGAGTTGAAAAGCTATTTCTTTTATGACTAGAATATATTGGCTGTAAGAAAAAGTTTACAGCTTAAAGTTTCACTTTTCTCATTTAATCGGTTTGTGTTTTACTCAAAACAGTTTAACATTACAGTAATGGAAGCTATCTAGATGTGTTATTTTAAGGTTTATTTTAAATTACTTTGGAATTTTTAAAGATTTTTAGATATTCTGTATAAAAAGATTTCCTTTATGATTCGCTTTTAACCCTAAATGCATAAGAACTTTGATTTAAGAGTTAAAATGTAATTTTTTTCTAATGTCCATGTTTTTTTTTCCTTTTCAAGGCAGTTTTTATATATTTATTTCTGCAGATTTGATTTCCAGAAATGCTTTGAGAAACATGGATGTAAAGAAGCTTCTTTCTTAAAAGCTAAGAGAAGCGGGCCTGCTCATATCGTTGCCCCTGCTGAGGTCATATCACCCAGTTAGGAATAGACATAAACCAGTGGGAGATTCTGACAGCACAATGAGCGTCAGTAAAATTATCCTGCTTTTACTGAATTAAAATCATCCCCCAAGTGTAAAAAATATGACATGGTCTTTTTATTTTTATTAAAAAAAACACTTCTACACTCACTACAGAAACTGATATGTTGATGAGAGAATACTAGTGGTTGTCTCAAAAGTCATTTTTACTCAGGCCTTTTATTTAAATTCTATCTTGACATGGAACATGCTTTCTCAAAGGTATAAGGGAGGATGTTATTTTTTCTGGTGGATCATCAAAATAAGTGTTCCTCCTAATCTTTAACCAATCTGGTGATATTTTTACGCAAGGCCATTTTACGTGCTCGTCCCCATTTTCACTTACCAGTGGTGAGTCTGACAGTGGAAAAATTGCAAAATCTTCTTTTGGAAACTAGGTGTGTATGAGCGATGCAAACAGCAACTTTGAAACAGAGCGTGCACGAGGAGAAATGGGCTCATGCATGCGCTCACACGTTTAATAGGCGTTCCCTCTCAGGAGTGCATACATGGTTGTGCATGTGCATTTTTTTTTTTTTATTCATGAAAATCTTCCACTATTCTTTTACCAGAAACGCAATATTAATAAGTAAGCATTTAAGTTTAAATAAAGAACCCAGATAAAATCTGACAATATTTTAAGTTGTCTGAAGTAATATTCTTTTAAATTGCAAATAATCAATAAATCTGAAATTAACAGCAGCAAAAACACTTTATTATCGATATCATGCCAAGTTAGTATTGTATCGGGATACAGCATTTGAGTATAAATACTTTTTAGATATAATATTTTTACAACCCTAGGTCTGACATCATGTGCATTTATGGCAGATTATCGTGTATGTAGTCCTGCTCTTGATGAGGAAATGCTAATGTTAACTAGGTAAGTAGTAGGGATATCCAGATCCGATGTCTGTACAATATTAGTGAAATAACTCATATCGTATTATATCGGCTGGCATCTTAAATCTCTAAAATTGGTACACTTTTACAAACACTCTGCTTCTGTTTAAAGTTTCTTTATCCTATTGGTTAATATAACATGGGTCAGTTGTTTTCAAACCTTTTTTTGTTGACTTGTTCTTTATTTAGTAATATAATTTTAGCCTTTTCTGACATTCTACAGAGCGAAATGATACATAAAAGCAGGTATGATTCATGCTGAAATCATATCAGGTCAACATCAGTAATGGAAATGCAGTTTAATCAGGATGCTCCTAGTAAGTTGCAATGCAGTGACCAGCCTTAAAGTAGGTTTTGGTGCTGCGTATATAATCATACAGCTTTGATCATTATGGGTGACACTGTCCTCAGTTTTGTTTAGTAGGGTAAAAAAAACAAGAGAAGTCTTCATCATGTTTTGTTTTCCATTCTAAATATTGCACATGAGACATTTCCCTTGCGGAACACCTCAAATCCCCAACATATCCACAGGAAAATTAGCTTTCTTTTGTTACTGGCCACTTTGCATTTTTCAGTTTCTCCAGTATGTTTTTCAAAGGCCAATTTAGGCTAAAGATCTGCTGAATAGCCTAAAACTATATCGTACTCCTTCATTTGAAATGGAAATATGGAATTATTGTCAATGTTTAGATGACCAGTTCAGACAAAGCCAAAACCTACCTCTCCATCTGATTCTATTTTTATAGCCTAAAGCTGGCCTGTAATTGTGTAATATTCCTGTAAACCTATTAAACATAATGATATGATTAGTTATTTTAGAACCACTCTACCTGCAGCTAAAAACTGCTCGCCTTTTTTTCAAAACAGGTTCAGCTGTGCACTTCCCATGTTTAACACATTCCTTCTTTAAAGTTGTGGCAAGCCTTTTTCCTTTCAGTAAAAATAGTGACTTATTCCTTCTTGTTGCTTTCCTCACAGCATAGTCCCAGTAACGGGGTTTCAGACAGTCACAAGTTGGAGGGTGGCTGCCGGAGCCCGGAGGCAGTGGACGAGCAGAGGCCCTCAGACGGGAAGCGAGTTGGTCGAGATCCTGACGCCCGATCGGTGTGCCTCCTGGAGCAGAAACGTAAAGTGGTCTCATCCAGCATTGATGTCCCACATGCCAGGTAGGACCCTCTTACTGCACATCTGAGCACTTGTCAAATCTGAGAAACCGAGTTCTGTCTGATTCCCAGGGGGAGTTTAGCTCACGTTTATATGCAGAGTTCACACAGAGTTTATGACACTGATATGTCATCCGACAAGTAGGACACGGTTTATGCAGGATGATGTTCCAATTTTCTTCTTATCCTTGGTGCCTTTCTGGCAGCATGCAGAGTGCAATTTAATTTGACAGTTGTCCGCTCCTGCTGCTGCATGCATATTCAATAACATCCTACATGCATTTTCACATAAGTAGTGTCAGAGTCTTCTGATGATTAATTACTTACCAGAGTTTTCTGCACTTTCAGAGCAAAGGTATTAATGCCCCTTGAAGATAGCAACATAAACCAAAACTGAAGTTTTGAAGAATATTATGTAATAAACTGAGCCAAAAGGATAAAGGCAAGTTAAATTATGAGCGGTGTTGCAAGCATTTAACCTTCTAACTGGGCACTATTAAACCCAACTCGGCTGCTAACCTATCACAGAGACAGGGCTGCCCTCCTAAGCTGACAGAGGGCGTCAATCATAGAAGCAACGGGTAACTCTAGAAGAGTTGAAAGGATCCACAGCCCACACACAAAAAAAAGTTTTTCACAACTTTAAATCATTATATCCAACCAAGCCATTGTCCAACTAAGGTCCCATTACATATTTAAAGTTTGGCAAAACCAACCAGTTGACTTTTAAAACATGTAGAAAGTACTCTGGTCAGATGAGATAAAAAAAAAAAACGTAAACATTTTTTGTCATACATTTAAAACTCTTAATACACCGTCCTCTCTCAGCTAGAATAAGGGAAAAAATGGATGGAGCTAAATAATATTGGTGGCTGAAGTCATGATGCACTTTAAGGATTTTCTGATTTCCCATGAAACACGGTGCTGGCAGCATTCTTCTGGGGGAACCATTTTAAACATAAAGGAAGGGTAGGAGAGGAAAGCTAGTAAGACGGTTCCTTGAATTCTGAAAGGATCTACAGTATAGTTAGAACGAACACTTTAAGCTTTAAGCTACAATCTAAACCTTGTCCTTTTATCCCTCTGAATGTATTTCCCTCCCCACTACACAAGCACAATAGCTTTACTTCAAGGAGGTTCATTATGTGTTCCTCCTCTGAGCATGTCTGAAACTCATGACGGAAAATGAAAACCTCTTTCATAGTAGTTGGAACTTTGTAACACAATCCATCAGATTCTGCACTGCAAGACGTACCACAGACCCCTTTCCAACTGGAAACCATTAAGATGGGATGTTGCATTAGTTTCTCCTTCAATCACTGTGTTTCTGCACACCATAAAGGAACGCATACGAAGACACTCTTAGATTGTGTGTAGAGTTAGCAAGCGAAGCTGATGAGCTGGAGGGAAATAAAACATTGATAGCCATTAAGTGTCATCTCTGAGAGCACAACATTCCTTCTCTATTAAACTGGAAATATTTATACCATGTATACGACGTACTGTAAATGCCCAGCATGGTTATTGAACAGCCCCTCTGATTACTTGGTGTTGGACGACTCTGATTGATCATAACTTGCTGAAAAGACGGGAACGTGTGCAGCTTCATCACTACAATTTCACCTTCAGATTTGGTTATTTGCTTATTGATTTCTACCCTGCCTTGCTGCTCATTTAGAGGATTTTAAATGTAATCTCTTTTATGGATTGCGGTTGTGCACTGGTCTCACTATTATTCCTTCATTGCATATCTGGTTAATATTATTATTACTACTCTTCAAGTCAGAGTAAGATGGTTTATCCATTATATCACAGCTTTCACAACAAGTAAACTCGTTTTTTAACCCCTCAGAGACGAGCGACATATAAACAGTCTTAACGTTTGTCATTAAAATGAGACCCACAACGAAGCTGCATTTCAGAGGGGTTTATAAATTAGGGTTCAGTTCACAGCCTCAGCGATTTAAAAACAAAAATGTATAAATGAGGAGCAAATTCACGGGCCCATTGGAGTGGCAAACTGAAAAATAAGGGTTTAATTTGCCCAGTGATGATTTCAAATGGATATGCTGTTTCTTTTTGGTGTTTACGGTGTGATCGTCATTTTGAGAGATTCAAAAAGGTCCACTTTTTCTTCAAAATTATCACAATAAAAATTCCAGCTCTGAGAGCTTAAATCTTTCTTTCTGTTTGCTTCAGACCTCGATACTCAGAATCCAACAGCCCTTTGTGCTAAATTAAAGCCACTTCACAATTGCACCTCAGATAAAATACATTTTAGTGCAATTCCTCAAGTGTGCTTGCACATTAAGGAGCACAAAAAGTTCATTGTTGCCGTGGGATTGGAGCGGACTTGGCTCTGAGCTCTTTTCTTTAATATCCTCTTCAGCGTGCTGCACCAGTATTGCCTCAAGATTAAGATCCATGGCCCTCATCCTCCACACACCTGTGACAGATTTTCAGCTCTGCTCTGATGCTGGAGGGAAACAGAACTTCTCTCTGACCACAATGTAATGACCAGCCGTAACTAAGACAAGGGGGGGTAGGTTTGACAGAAAATAAGGAAATATACATGTAGTGTTGGGTTTATTTTCCTGTAAAATTCATCCAAAAAAGCAGCTTCTGGTGGAGTTGGACAAACTTACCGGTAGTATTACATTTTCTTTAGTTCCTGCTTAGTTGGATTCGACTCTTCTCGACTCTACAATGCCTGGGTCGTTTTGCTTTACAATGGAGTACCACTTAATGTGGATAGGATCGCGTTACCAAGGCAGCCCCAACTGGTAGGATTTGATTTGTCGGCAACAAACCACCATCTACTGTAGCCCCCTTAGTGTTCTCATATCAGCCACAATGATATGTGGTCTAATGAAGCATCTCTTCATTAAACCACAGGGTTGATTTGCATGTTGGCATTTTTTGGGGGTTCTTAAAAATGGTCCAATGTAACTCTGCGTCTTCTGATTTCGAGTTTTTTACTTGGAAATCAGGCCAAGTAGATGATATAAAGGAGCTGGTATGAAGTAGCTGTCACTATTGAAATACTTGAACAGTGCTATTGTAAAAGAGTGTCTTTGTGATTTCTTATATATTACAAACAAAATTAGCTTTCCACTTTTGTTTAAGAAGAGAACATTTTGACAGTTCCCATCCAACCCAGAATGCAAAAGGTTTTTCCTTATAGGAAGCAAAGTCACAGATGTTCTTGAATGGTTCGTCTTCTACGATTGGGAAAAACTGAAGAAAACAGCTTTACTCTAAGTAGACATTAATTCTTCAGGCTAGAAGTACAGGCTATTATTTATGGTAGTAATCCAACAGGAGAGACGTTAAGTGTCATTTTTAAAGGGTCCTTTGTAAAAACCAGGACAGCTGCAAGTTTAAATCTAGACATTAGCATGAGGTTTGGCGATATTAAATCCCGGTAATATCGCTCTTTCTTTGAAACCTAAGAACCACCTTAGATTAAAACAAGCATTAAACCTAAAATCTGTCATGTGTTGATTTTTTTATACACTTGGAAATTCTTTTAATCACAGTTTGATTCTTGGTTCCCCCAAAAGTTGTTTTAGTCTTATATTCTCCTCATTAACCTGTGATCATCTATTGGCCTGCCTCATGAGATCGACATATTATGCCACACCCACTAACCATGCAAAGATCTGCTATTTTCTACGTATGTATTGCTATTGCTTTCACTCCTGCTGTTTCCTTTTCACAGTTTTGACACCTACAGTTATTAACTGCGCCTCCTCCAAGGTGATCCCACTTATTAGAAAATCAAAGTGTAGGCATAGTAGGCCATTAACTTTGTCATTTTCTTGGATAACTAGTCTTTGTAATGGGGGATATTTTGAAAAGTCAAATCCAAGAACAACAGCATACTGCTCTGGTTACCCTTGAACTCTTTCCCAACACTTAATTTCAGGAAAATCTAAAAAAATATATATATAATGAATACTTATAAACAGACAACTGGTTGGGAGAAGATGATAGGGGACACTGTGGAAGAGGGAGCAGAAGCAGAGCTGATTAGATGTTGTAAATATACTGAATTGTCGTACCAACCGCTTAAAGCCCATAATATTTATACTTATAGCCCATAAGATTTGAGACTCATTCCCATAATCACAAGCATTCTTACATTTATTCACTGATTTTAGCAATGCTAGACAATTTCAGTGTGAGAATCCAACTCATAACTTTTGAGAGATTTGCTCCAATTGTGAGTCCTTGCAGAAAACCCAGATCTTCAGACCTGGACTCCACCTAGATGTTTTGAACTTAGCTCCGTCTCATCACTCTTAACCTGTTAACTGACACCCCAGAATAACCAAAAAGCATTTTAAAAGGCCTAAAAAAAGCATAAATATAATTTTGCTGCTGTTCTTAGACCCTTGGGAGGATCTATGCTGCCCTATAAAAGCATTGGAATTGTGGAAATATTCTCAAATCTGGTTTATACTCTGAACCAGGTCGTCTGAGTGTGAGTGTCACAGTGAACGCAAATATGCCCCCGCCCCTCCCGCAGACACTCTGGTGCACCTCTCCGAAATTGTAAGTGAACGCAGACAGGAGGCCTCTGATCGGTCAAATCTACATCCGCTCTACATTATGCATATTTCATGTTTGGTACCTTACCGGCTTGTTTTGTTTGTATGACCGCCATTGTTGGTAATTACTTATGAAGTTGGATCAGCTAGAAGTGTGAGGTGCACGAGAACGCTAGGACCCTTTTTCCACCTGGATCCCTGCTCTTTTTCGCCTTCGTGTCCCTCCATTGTCGCACAGACTTGCCCCACTTCCGCACTGCCTCGGCCACATCTAGACCGACAGCTAGTCCGTGTTTGTCCCTCTTACGTTGGAATAACATAGCGCTTCAATATTGGGCATAAATCAAAAATATCTGCGAAAAGCTCACTGCGACACACTGCTGCAGGGAGTATAATCAGCCCTTTAGTGTGGCACTATGAGTCTGGATATTTGGAGGCACCCCATTAATA